TCATTGAGCTTCCTATGCTACTGACAGGATTGATAAGAAGGCAGGATACTTTTATACTACCTGCTGAATATTCCTTCTTTCCAAGGGAGTTTTACCTTCGGGATTTCAGAGAAACGTTTGTAGTTATTTGAAGTTTTTGATACCTTTCAACATCTTAACAGCCACAAGTGTCTTTGTTGGCCTCCCCTGGAGGCCTATGACTGTTGCCTTGGCAACCTGACCAAAAGGACCTTTACCAACGACCTTTTCAACTGACACGAGCTCTGTAGGAATCTCCCAACAGCGTGGTGATGAATACAGAGAGGTGTATTCATCGACTGACTCGGCAGGTTGTGGACAGTTCGCCCGCTCTGCATCTGTTATGGCCGGTGACAGATTCCACACATCCAGTGCCATGTACTGCTGGCTCTGAGAAGGTTTCGCCATTTCAAGCCCAGCCCTCTAAATTTGAAATAATAAAGGTAATCATCAATTATGACTACAGTGGAAAGTCTTTCAAAACTTTCATTTTTAGAATTCCGTGCTTCATGACCTGTACAACTTTCATGCGATAATTTTTGGCATTTATGGCACTTATGCCATTATCATAATGACATTTATTATAATCTTACGACTGGGGATGTACTCTGCGACTCACGAGAGCGTTACTGTGCCCGTGGGCAGAGAATGGGAAATTCGGACTGCGCAAGGAACCAATCAGATTTCAGGATTCGTTATCGTCCCCTCTTGGAACAAAATGATGCACTGTATTGTAAAGGTAAAGGTCTAAAGGTCTCTATTTATCCAAACAACATACGTGTTTAGTTACAATTTTAAGGTTGAAATCAGACAGGCGCCTCTGGCAGCCGTGTTTAGTCCGTAGCGATTTCACCCACTCACCCAACCCACCCCAAGGAGGACATCCATCACACAGTAATCTCGTGCGTGGGAAATTAACGTCTCCTACCCCAATCCTGCAGGAGACGGGACCTCCATTTATTCGTCTATAGCCGAGAAGACTAGAATATCTAACCATTTCTTGACGTTATAGAAAGGAAGTATATTCTTCTCAATTAATTTTAAGACCCTGAGTGTTGGTCCGGCCGGTATTGAACTCTCGATCTCCCGCACAGCAGTCCGGCGCTCTCCCAATTGAGCTAACCAGGCGGTGGTTATATACTCTAGGTATATATACTCCAGGCGGTTTGTAACACAGTAGAGTAAAATTATGGAAGTGACTTACATCAACAATTCCTATTTCTTCATTTCTTTGTTCTTTTTTCCTAATGATAAAAAAGAACATCCTTTGCTCTCTAATCCGAATCCAATCGGATGAAACATATTTATTTAATAGACGGAAACGCACTTGTCTGGGCCCTTCATGATTATTATTTATGAAATAATTTGTGCTAAGCCGGTTTTTATGAGTAGAAATGCTAAGATTTCTGCGCCTAGCATTGAGTGGCAAGTTATAAACAAATTTAAATATATCTGGATAACCCTCACTCAAAAGGTCTCGTCAGTAGTTTAAAATTCATCACGCTAAGGACGCTCTAGGAACATTAACTTAATAGTAACCCTGATCCATGTATATTACTAACAAAAATAATTGCAGTGCCACCGTCAACAAAAACAATAATTTGAATTGGAAAATAAATCATCGTTATAAATATCTCACCTTTCTCTTTTTTCTGTTCCCAAAACAGTATGAAAGAAAAAAAAATTGAAAAACGTAAAATGACAGAGCTAGAAAGAAAGAAAAACCAGCTCGAAAGGTATGCAACACAAAGTATATAGACCCTTTTAAAAAGAAATTACTTTAAAGGCAATGCATAACAGTTTCTCTTAACATTCATCTCACTTTACAAATGGAAAGTCTAACAAAACTTCCAGAGCGATCATTAAATGAGCGATCAGAGCGATCAAATGAGAGTTGTGAATTTTTTGATTTGCGTATATTTCTCCTCGCTCCTTTGGTCCTTCTCAAGGTATTCTCGGGTAGTGCGGGGTGTTTCACTCTGTAAGCCAATAACGGCCTGCGTACTTAAGCCTTGACATTGAAAATTGACGTAGCCAATTTCGTGCACTCGTTTTCTTGCATCGTGCAGTTAAATCGGCCATTTTCGAATTACCTTTGGCCTCTTTTTCAAAATGTGGCTGGTGCTCAAACATTGGTATGAAAATAAGTTTAATTTTCTCGCGAATAGAAACTTATAATCATATGAAAGGATACGCACCAGGACTCGCACATTTATCATCTTTTTTCGGAAATTTAAAGAAGTCTCGAAGTCTTAATATTGAGTTAAGTTTGTAGTCTACCCTCTTTGCTCTATGGGAAAAAGGTATCTGATACAACTGTCATTATGTTTTAAATACTACATTTCTTATGGGCCAAAGCTTGCTTTGATAAAACCCCTATTATTTGGTTTCTTGCTCTTACGCCTTCTTTGCTTCCATAGGAAAAAAACAAATATTCCAACAGCAACAGCAATTGCGACGACACAACCAACCACTGCACCAGTGATAATCCCTGTGACACCTTGAAAACAGGAGAAGAACAACAGAGGGAATATACGTCTCCAAACACTATATATTTGGCATTCACCCACTTAACTTTTTCATGACCCCTTTTTTTCTACACACACAACTTTTAAAGTAATTCACTACAAATTACTAAGAGAACTAAGAAAATGTGATCTTAATACCAACTGTTGAGACGTGATGCAAGGTATGAGACATAAATAGGAGGAGATTCACTAGGACTCTACCCTTACTTACTATTAAACAACGCTTTAAAAACCTTTAAAATTACAGAATAGCAAACACACAAAAGCCCTCAGATATACATTGCAGTACACTTGCTAACTACTTGATAAAAGCTGATTTCTTTACTTTTCGAGGTTACGTCTCTATTTTTCAAGCGTTTGGACGCAGCACATATGTGGGCGTACAGGCGGTTTCACGATCATTTTTTCTATCATATCAGTGCTGTATCTATTGTGAATTAAAAGTAGTGTAATATAAGTTGGATACTGAGGTCACGAATTTTCTTTCTTATCTAGTTACTCATCACTGTTTTGAATAATTTCTTACTTTCTGCCGAAATTAGAGCAACTCCTAATTAATTTATAACGTGAGAAAGTTCATGTAATAAAAAAAGGAGTCAAACCGAAAAAAGGTGCTACCCCATCGGGCAGAATGTCTATTGTTTTCGGGACATTTACTTGCGATGGCGAAAAAAATACGGATCTGTAATAGTAGCGGCGAAGAGTGCAGAAGTTGATTTATGTTGAACGAGATCTTGCACTCTTTCCTCCACTGAGAATCCTGCTCTAGTTCATTAACCTGTCAGGGCGGAGCCTCGCAATGCTTTTCCTCCACCACAAGGACAACTCCCGACCCATCCTGTAGCGCTTAGCTTTTGTGGTGTTGTACAGAATGACAATATACTTATACAGAGGGCATGAGGTGCTTCCCTTGAGTGTGATTAAATCCCACTCTAATCAGCTACTCTAAAGAGCATATCATGAATAAAGATGTTTTTGAAATCTTGTCACCTGTCAACAACAATTTGAGGATCAAAAAATTAGAACTTACTGCCTGGAGGCGTTATTGTGCCTGTCTCAGTGTTTCCAGTTTCGAAATCAACCTGTGATCTTGTCTCTTTTATGGTACTCACAATGAAGTCTCCAAGCTTCCCATCTTTGGAGGCATTACGAAGCACTGTGATGACATCTTGCTCTTTTGCTTTGTAATTAAATATAAGTGCTAGGTCGAAAGTTATACTTCCGCACCTTGATTAAGACAAAATATGAGGATCAAAATAAAGTGAAGTGCTTTAGAAACCAGAAAATTATAAATCATTTGGTGATTCAGGAGGTTTACAAACCTAATGCTACTTTTCAAATGCACACTTTTGAAACCTGAAAATCTCCCAGCAAAAGCTTCTTCCATCTGTACAGGGAACAGTAAAGTAAAATTGAACACGAAATCGAAGAGTTCGTCAAACACCTCAAAGGTAAGTAGGCAATCAGAAAGACATAGGAATGTTTACTGAAAAAAAAGACAATGACACTATATTGTCAATTTTGTCACTATCAACCTCTTTCACAAAGCACTTCGTAGTATGCACATCGGAACGTTGAACAGGCTCTCTTGGAATGTTTGTGTTCATTAACAAAGGTTCTATTTCTTTTGGTAGCCAACTATTATTAAACCAAAACCAAAACTAAAATAGTCATCGCCCGATTTTATGATTTTCATGTAATAGAGCAGCAGGAAGATTAGTAATACACATATGGTTACCACTTCTTGCATTCTCGTCGATAATGAGGACTGGCCGCATTTTCCATCATTACAACTTTCACCGGTGATGACCAGGGTTATCTTAATTACATAATGGAATATGAAATATATAAAATCCCGCAGTTGAACTGAGCTACATACATGAAAGCCATGCCACATTCACAGTAAGAGCAGTCTTTATTTCCTTTGTTAGCCAGCTATTTACAAAACATCCGAAACTACCACGACTGTAATTGCATGGATTTGCATGTAATATACACCTTTGCCATAATGGCGGCGACCGAGTAAAGACTAAAACTAGGGCATGGGGACGAGGCCACCCGGGCAAGGATTTGTGCACTTGT